CTCTTCTACGTTATGCTCGATAAACAAGCTTAGGCTAGTTAGCCAATTTAGATTAACAAGTCTGGGTTAGGGGCCTCCAGCTTTTCAAAACTCGTTAGCTTAAACGAAGCCTATAAGCCATATCCGAGTTGTGAAATTATAAGTAGCCACAAACTCAGACTAAAGACCAAGCTAGCTAACTTTACATGCAATCTTAGCCTGAATCAGCTCAAGCTAAAATGCAACCATAAGCTGTTAATGTGTCCATAAAGACACATTATATAGAAGCATATGATATGTAACCATTAACAAGACAGTTCAACTTCCCGCAATTTAGAACTCCCCACTTTGTGGAAATTCAGGAATTTTTCCATCTTTCATTGAGCTCATTTTTATCCCCACTCTAACTACACATGACACAGGTATAAGTACAACAACCTCATCCTATTGCCAATGCCATTCAAACCTTGCAAGAATGCTGCTCTCCAAGTTTTAACAATTGCCAGATTATTCATATATAAAAATATAAATCTAAGAACAGAATAGCACCTTCTTTTCTTTTTCTTTTTTTTTTTTTCNTTTGGCAATTTTCACTTTCTTTACCTAGTCCTATGTCACAAAAGACTGAATATTAGAGGCAACTATGTTATACATAAATCCTGAGGCTCCCAAAAGATTCACCATTGCATGGATCGGTTCCTTCGCAGACGGGGTGGTTTTCGCTTCTCAACTACAGGAATCACATTCTCCATTATCTGCAAAAACGTAAATTTTCACTAAACGATATCACTATAATTTCAGAAATGCAGTTTGCGTAACTAGACAATCTTTAACTATATTTCTAGAATAATACTTTTGGTTGTCAATAAATGAACTATACTGTGTGGTATGTTTCAAGAGTAAAATGAACATTTTCACCAATCAACACAACCGAAAGTCACAAAGAATATATTTTATTTGATTATTACTTCCATTAATTTCCAAAATATGAATATGAGCCACAGCACAGATAGCCTCATCTCTTAAAAATTAAGGTAAACGAGTGAAAAGACGAGCTGTGGCTCTATTAAATTTAGCTCATGATTATGTTAAGTGCTACCCGCTGATTAAAGCAGCACTAGACCGTCCATAAGCATAACAGTCACAATACCATCTTTCAACCGAAACAATTGATACAAAAACAACAGTTTATAAGCCATATCCCAATAAATGGTTCTGCGTACTTGAATAAGAAGAGGGGGAAAAAAGGAAAGAGAGAAACAAAAAAGGAAGTTCGACATTTACTGACATCTTCTGCCCCGTCAGTTACTGTATAGCAGTAATAAAATGTGTCCAGGCTTCTAGTTCTCACAGAAAGGTAGTGAAATCATCTTAAACAAAACCCAGCAAAAATAAGAACAGACACATTCTCATACTCAAGCACTAGGAAAAAAACAGGCTAAACTAAACTATTATATGATTTCTCACAGATACCAGGTAAGCAAGGTCAAATTGTGACATTTTTCAAGAACTTAGAAAATGCTATTTTACTAGTTTTAACCACGTCTAGAAAATCCAGAAAATGTAACCAGTCAAATACAGTTTCATACTTAAGAGGCTGAAAATACTTACTTGTACATGTTTCTTCATAAAAGTATTTGCAACTGAATTAAGAAACCATAGAAAGTGAACTTATATAAAAAAGTTGGCTGATGAAAGAGATACCTGCTTTAGCCTTTTCTTTGTCTGCTCTGCCTGTAATTGAATATGTCATTAGAAATTGCATTTTGTAAGATTACAAAATGTCATAAAAAGATATAAGCACACCTCTAAAAGCATCCAAAATCATGAAAAGTTTTTACATAAACCAACAATAATTTAAGAGGCACGTGAAAAGTCTTATAATAGTCTTCGCTGCATCACAGTGGATAAAAAACATGCAGATTTATAGCATACATTAACTAGCATAAAGGTGTTTATAATCATCATTTCAAGAGCAGGAAGCTTCACAGGAATTTGAAGACCAAAAAAATATTTTGTCCAAGGAACACAAATGTACATGAAAATACTTAAGCATTAATTTACAACAAATCTTTGCATTTTAGAACAATNTTTTTAAGGAACAAAATGAAAGGTCAAAAAATTCACCTTATAACAACGTTACAAAAGGAAAGGTCATAAAATTCACCTTATAACAACGTTATAATAGATTGTCAGCCATTTATCAATGATAAACAAAGCTCTACATGATTGAATTAGATGAACAATTAGATAATGAGCCTCAAAGGCACTGGAAACTGTGAGTGACCACTGCATTTTTTTGTAAATCGGCAAATAAAATAAAATAAAGTGGCATTAAAAAAAATGTATAACAAGTTCGTTTCCTAAGTCATCGAAAAGATAAAATAACGACTTATGTAAGCCATACATATCACCATGATACGTTAGAATTAAGTATTCAACATTTTGAACTGCTGAGGCTTAAATGAAGCAATAGCAATTAGCACAACCATCTGAGCCTCCTCCATTTTTCATCTCACACAAATAACTACTGTAGTAAAGTAACGTGAATATCTTTTAATTTTCTAGCATAAATTTTTTTGGTGTTAGCACAGCAATTTCGACTACAAACTAGATACTAAACACACAAACCAAAAAAAAACTAAATCAAAGAAAGTAAATATCCAATATAATAAGTTTTAATATGTTAAAAAAAGCCTGCAAAGCATGTCGATTACCAGAATCAAGTTCATAAAGCATGTTGATTACCAAAATCAGCTTACATTGAGCATCAATTCTGTTGATCTTGCAACACGCCATAGGAGAGTGTGTGTTTCGAAAAAAAAAAAAAAAAAAAAAAANAAAAAAAAAAAAAAAAAAAAAACAGCGTCAATATAACTACGAAAATGGTCTTGTAGGATTTGATGGAAATACAGCTGGCATCTATACTAAGGATGGGCACGCCGCATGTTTGACATACGTGCCTGACGTCAAGGTGAAGGACTTGGAGATCTTTTATGGATATACCAAAAATTGTCACTTGACCAACGTCACGTTGACTAGTTAGTTAAAGGCGGCTACATAAATGCCACATAACGACATACCACCAATTCTCATGAACGTTGCCCATAAGTGAGCAATTTATTTCTAACAAAATGATAGAAAACAGAAATACGCTACTCCCGAAATAACCAATCACAATGAGGCACCTCCAAGCCTTCACCAATAACCTTACTGGAAAACAAAAATGCAAACCATATAAGAAATAGCCTCACTGATATAATCAGCACCTGTACTTAAATGGTTGACCCCAAATATCAGGGGACACGCCCCATTTACAAATAAAGTAGCTGCTTGATTTCTATATGGACAAAAATAAACCACAGCCAATGACCAAGAAACTAACGGTTTCAAGAACCTAGTAATATCATGAAAGCGCGCAATATACAGAGACATACTCAACATCTAATGACGCATAAAACCAGACATTGGAAACTAACTTGGATCATCTTACTTCCAATTGATCTAGATCAATCCAGACAGGTCTTTGGTCGAGCTATAATAAGTTAACGCCAACACAATCATATCCACCAGCAACTCAATAAAAGTTCTTCAATATGAAAACAAGAATAACGGAAAGTTAACGCCAACACAGTCATATCCACCAGCAACTCAATAAAGTTCTTCAATATGAAAACAAGAATAACGGAAAGAACTACCTTCTCTCTCAGATATTGCTCCCTTTCTTCTTCTAGTCTTGCCACCATGGACTCCAATTCCACTTGATACGCCTAAATAAAATCACAAAAAAACAAGAAATTACCACACCACCGTTCACCTCGCTTGCGATAACAACCAATACAAAAGGACTAAAACCCCACCTGCTTACGCTCTCTGGACCTCGCGGCAGACTCTCTGTTCTTGATCATTCTTCTCTGCCTCTGCTGAGCCGCCTTATCCAGAGGCTCCAACAAGCTCATACTCCTCTTCCCTTTCCCTCTGCCCAAACTCCCAACTTCCACACCCAAACCCATCCCCGTATCCACCCCGGCAACACAAGACTTCGTTTCGTATGCATAAACCCCCCGGCTCAACTGCTCCTCCTTCACCCCCAAAACGCCACTCGTCTCAGGTGCTGCCACCGCCACCTTCTCCTCCTCCTCCGCGCCAGTCTTCGCCAGAAAATCTTCCAGAGTCATCATCTCCTCCTTCGGCTGCTTCTCCTTCTTCTTCCCAGCCACGATCTCCCTCCACACGTCGTCCACCGTTTTCCTAACCACCCTCGGGGGCTCGAATCCTCCGTCCCCAATGGGCGTAACAGCTCCGGCCTCATCCAGAAGCGCGATCTCCGCCTTCAGCTGCGCGCTCGAGCTTAGCTCGGCCCCGCTGGCAAGCGGATGGTCCTGATCCTGATCCTCATCCGGAACCGAGTTCAGTTCTATGAAATTCCTCCGCCCCAACCGGTCTTCCTTTATGGGTTCGGGCTCCAAACCGTCGCGAGCGGCAGCGCCGGTGTTGATTCGGAGAAAATCGGCTGTCCCACAAGGCAACGAGAGCTTGCGCTTGAGATCCGAATTTCGCGAGGTCGAAGAAGCCATGAGCTTCGACGTCGCCATTAAAGTGAACACAATTCCTCGAGAAATGAAGGTCAGTCGGTGCCGACCGTCCCCAAATCTCGCGCTATCGCTTTACTTCCTTTGTCTCCCCTGAATGAGTGTGAACAGATGTGAATATATATCTCACTTACCATGAAAAAAATAGAAAATAAAATTGAAAAAACAAACATATATTTATATCTATGAGAGTGTCTGCGTGTCGAAATGCAGGCGCATGTGATGATTGTGCGTGTGAGTGTGTGTGCAGAGGTAGGAACCTACCTAGGGTTTTGCAATGTAATTTTTTGATGATTTTTTTATGTGCAGAGAGTTGGAGAGATGAGTATCAGGGGTTTCTTTTTGGTTTGCAGCGCGAGAACGGGTGATACGTGTAAGGATGTGAGAGGAAGTGCTTTTTCAGTTTTGATAAATCTAGTTGAAAAATGGCTCACAGGGGTTTCTTTTTGTAATTAACATTTTACGGAGGGAATTGAAATTCATAGATTTTAAATTTACAAGTTCAAATGCTTATGTATATTGGGATGATAATGGAAGTTGGAGGATTTTAAATTCATGCTACATGTTTTTTAGTCATTATTTTGAAGGATTTGAAATGACTCCTCAAACCTAGTCATTTGAAATCTACTGTTTATAACCGTTGACGACCACGCCGTCCGCCATCATTTAGGAATTCATCACCACCGAGAGTCAACACCATCGGTGCGAGCTAGACAATTTATTTATATTATTTTCAACACATCCATTCAAAAGAGTGTGCAAGTCAAAAATTTATATTTTAAAAATTTTGAAATCAAGAGATTTCAAATCCTTCGAAACAAACGGAGCCTAATTGTTTTGACCAACGGATTGCGTTGGTTGTTTTGACTAGTTGATTGTGTTAGTAGTTTGTAAAAAAATATTTGATATAATTAGCTATTTTAATTAGATGTTAATATATAAAATTACTTGTAAGAACATCAACATATTTTATCATTCTAATTTATGTTGAAGTTGAACTTATAATTATTTAAGAAATATAAATAATTAGTATTTTTAATATGATAAAAATATAAATATTAATAAAATAAAAATATTTCATAATAAGTTTAATAAAAGGTATAAATAATAATCGAGTAAAAAAAAAGCTCCCAAACCATGTGACTTGAGAATATGGTTGCTCAAATATTAGAAAAAGAAAGATTAATTAACTAATTTTAATTTTTTTGTTTAAAAATCAACTCCAACGCTGCAAGTAGCAGCGTTTCCTATTTGGAGGTTTGGTAATAAAAAAGCTAACTTGAACCGCCATTAACCAAACACATTTTTAAGCTGATTGATAAATCCACAAAAAGGTCCAAAACGCTGATTTTTCATCAAAAAGCCATTTGCTAAATACGGCCAGAGTTTATAAGTTATGAATAAATTGCTGAAAAAAAACTAAAATAATAATAATATTTGATAAAATTGCTAAAATAAAATTTTTATGAGATGCACTATGGATAAAGAAGCTTATAAAATAAATTTAATTCAAAAAAATAAAGTAATTAAGTACCAAAAATTAATTTATAAGTTATCAACAACTAACTAGTTTTTTCTACTATGTTTATCAAATATTATCTTTGCAACTTATCAAAAAAGCATGTTTATGTATTATTATTTTTTTTCAGTTGACTTATAAGCTAATCTAACAAAACATTTTTATTATATAATCTAGTTGTTCAATTATAAGTTATAAGCTATCACATATATGGTATGTTCGGTAAATATAGTTGATATCTAATAATTGTATTTCAAGCTTATATTGATAAAAGTGTTTAGTAGAATTAGTTGTTAAATCAACTTAAATATCAATTAAAACAGACTTTTATGAAAAGCAACATAGTGAATCTTATGTGACAAACTCAAGTTTTTTAAAAATACATCATACCAAACCAATCTTATTTAAAATATCAAAAAATTATAAGCTAACTATATAATATATAAACTAATATATGTATTTATTAAACAGACTCATAAACTCAAAATTAGCTTACGAACTATCAGGAAACTTATCAACTATACGCAAATTTTTCAACTAGATTTATCAAGCATACCTCAAACTTATTTTAATACAATAAGTTTATAAGTTAACTAAATAAATTATAAATTAACTTATGATCAAATTGAGATGAAATGGAGAAACCAAATCGAACTATGCAATTTAGTGTAGTTCAATTTGTTGTGTCGTTATTCATTGCGAACCAGGTCGAACCGCCTACTCCGTGAACCTCTTTCGTCTTTGAGCTCCGGTGACCTGCAATACGCAGGAAGGGAGTCCTAGTGGAAAATCTCTGACACTCAAATCATAACTTTCTCAACAAATATATACGAGAATATGTACCTTAGGACATGGAATATGCGATATTCCAATCAAGAAGAACGTGACACTTTCTTGATGCCCAAAGGAATCCTTGTTAGAAAAAAGATCCAACCAAATCACAATTTCTTGATGCCCAAAAGTTGAACCTGACTTCGTTCTAAAGTCTAACCTAGCCTCAGGGTCTTACGACCTCGATACCTCAAGGTCGGTTTCTTCCGATCGGCTAGTACCTTGAGGTCAAATATGAGCTTCTTGGCTGATTTACTTACTTATAGACATACCAGAGCTCTCCCGGACCAGTCTATCCAAGTTGACTGATTAAGCAGGGCTGTCGAGCTATTTTGAGTACTACATCATGTAGCCCTCTCATTTCAGGACGAGCTAATTGGACTTCTGCTGAAATGTATCTTTTTTCTCAACCTTTGTGTTTGGTCTACTTTTTACGTTCATTGTACTATCCGACAGCTTGGGAGAATGTGAGACGTTAAAAAGAGGTGCCTTATCTGCTCAGGTCCCAATCCTTCAACCTTTGATAAGTAAGTTCTAGACCCCTCTTTATATATTTTCCTTTTCTCTAAAGCTTTGATTTTTATCGTTTTATCTTTTGGCTTTCTCCGGAGACTACTTAGGTCATCTCCTGCTCTTTTTCCTTTCTTTATATACGTCCCTTAATTATGTCATCAAGATCTTCAACTTTCTCTTTCCAAAACCGAGTAAATGCTATAATTGATAACTTCTCAATCCTCCAAACCATTCCTCTAGCCGCTATCCCTTTAGCTTCGCGTCTGCCTGTTGAGGTGACTGTCGTCGAAAGCGCTCAAGCCTCTCTCTCTCCCAATTTGATCCAGGTCGCTAGAACTATTTTTTTACTTGTCTGGTCAGGTACTAACCTCGAATACTTTACACATGAGTGCGAGCTTCCTTGATCCTGGGAACTTTAGCTTCTAAAGGCTAGGGATTCCTTCTTCAAGCCCCTCAATGGCTTCTATGTCTTCTTTGCAAACCAGATATACGCCGATCTCACATTTTCCTTGAAAACACAACCTCTTAGAGTTGGCTTAGATCTACAGGTCCTTTAAACCACTTTGCTCCCATCGCTATTCGCTTCATGGAGGGCTATTGCATAGTTAGTCGTTGCATCGTACTTTCTTTAGACCCCAACTTTTTCATTTATTATTACTGGATGAAGCCCCAAAGGGCTCGTTTTATCTTTCTCGCCACAATAATGCGAACTTCCTCGACAACCTTTCGTCCAGTATCCCCGAGTGGCAATCAAAATATTTCTTCGTTCGACCTCCCCCAGGGACTTTTGACTTCTCCCTTGAGTTGATTTATAAAAAGC